GGGAAAGGAAAGTCATGCAAAAATCACATCAGAGTTTTCCCAGTGATGAAGCTTTTTTACAAAAAGCAAATGTTTTCCTTAGAATTATTACCATCTGAGTTATTTCCATGTTGCAGCTGAAGGCCAGTAGTTTGCAAGTGCAAATACTTGGGGGCGAGGAATAGGGGAAGAGGGATCATTTCCATTTTTGCCAGTGTGTAAATCTTGTTTTCTGTTGGCTGCAGTCACCCTGATGGACTTGCACTCAGTGAAGGCCCCACTGTTTCATGACATGAATATGATTTTGGAGTCAATAATGTAAATGCTTTCTTATACTCAGCATAAGCAGGCACAAGAGCAAATGGTCTCATTTACAGTGAAGTTGACGTTTAAAATAACTATTGTATGTTTATCTACCCAAAGCTCCCAAAAGATCTGCATATGTGTGTCTCCTGCCTAGGTCTTTCCACTGAAAAAGCTGAGAACGTAGTTAAGTCTCCTTGGACTCATCAGCTGTACTGCTTTTGGCACAGTTCTTCATCACACCGTCCCCTTCTGCCTATTTGTTTTTCCCATTGTCTGCCTATATCATCTGAACCTGTAAATACATGGAACTCAAAACATTCTGTGATTAAAAACAGGATACTTTCTCTTGCAGTAAGGTTAATCATGCTCAGAAATGGGCTCTTAATACAGCATCCCAAATATCTTCCTTGAAAATGTCCTATGGGCCCTAATTATCTCTCTCCAAATAAAAAGGATTGAGTCAAGAGTTTCATGCATCTGCTTAGTTTTCAACTGGATTTTGCTGGTGGTTTAAATAAGCATGCTCATTAGCATCTGTCAGCTGCCCAGACTTATTATTTTATTGCTATGTGTTGATTTGACTTTATTAAGACCTACAAGCCTTGATCCTGCCTGAGAGATGGACTCCAGATCAGATCTGCACGTGGAGTCTGCTGCCCTGCCCTGCACAAGGTTTTCACCTGCAGGTTTTTTTCTTTTCTCCGTCAGCTGAGTCCAGAGCTTCTGACTGTTAGAGCACACTGCTGAAACATTCCCTCTTCTCGTCTTTGATGGAAGCTGCCCACCTCTTTCTTTAGCCTAAAAAGAAGAATGGATTCCTGGAACTTGGAAAGGCAGATTAATGCTTCTAACAATATGACAAATAAGCAGTGTATTTTTTAATTTGTCCTCTTCTCTCTTCCCTCCTCAACCCTATCTCCCTTCCTCCCAGGTGAGAAATGCTGATATGTTGTGTAATTCAGGAGCAGTTTGGTGTGTTCCTGGCCTGCCCCAGAGCTGATGGCTGTTTGGACTGTGGTATAATTGCTTCTTTGGCTGCTCCCAGAAATGTGGCTCCAGGTTTGCAGACATTGCTGTGGGAGAATGGGAAAAAAAAAAAAATACCATGGCAGCCCATCTTCTTTTTCAGATGGGGAAGAAAACTCACTAGTAGTTTTTGGTCATGGTTTTATAATTCTTAAATAAATTTCTGAAGGATTGCTTGTGGGAAAGGGTGACAGACTAGTAAGTGAAAAATCTGTGCTTGGGCTGTCGAGGTGACTGTGTAATGGAAATGCTCCCCTAAGAAAGGCTTGCAGATTATAAGAGCTTTTTTCATTTGAATTCTTCTAATACTTTTTCAGCTCACATGGTATAGAAATGTCTTCTGTGGACATTGATACAACCAATCTCTATTTTATTAATTTAATTCTTTTCCAGTGTTTCTCCTCTCCTTGTTTTCTCTGCTAGAGAGTGAAACTTTCATTTTCCTTCCAGGTCCTGTCAAATATTGCTATGATGCCTTTTAATCCATCTGTTGTCTTCCAAAACTTTGGAGTCTGCTCATATTCTGAAGAAGGAAGATCATCCCAGACTGTCCTCAGCTGAGAATCCTGAGACAGGGCTGAGAGGGACCAGAAAGGAAATTATCCAAAAGAGCATGCAGGGATCACCACACTGTTGGGAAACAAGAGTTACCTGACACTGCAACCAGTCTGCAGCCCTGTCTTGCCTGCAGTCCAGTCTGCAGCTGCCTGTGATGGCAACTTTTCTCTGGCAATCAGGCAGGAAAAAGTTCCAGCCCATATCCTGTGCCAAGCTAAGGATGAAGAGGTAAAAGTATTTAGTGTTTTCTCACAAGAAGTGAAAGCAGCTCCCTATCATTTTCAAAGGCTGAGTTATGATTCCACCACACACCTTCCCTGAGAGACAAATACTCACCAGGGCTGATGAGTTGTATTAGCCTAAGAATTAGCATCCATGTACTTAAGAAAGAAATGCTGAAGCAACAGCCACTTAGCTTGGGACAATGAAACATCAATGATCTCACATTTCAAGTCCTTTCACCTAGCAATGTTTGCAAGCACTGTCCATTAGCCCTCCTCCAGCCCCCCAGTGCCACCTCTAGAAATGATGAAGTAAAATTCAGTTTGAGATCACACTTATTCCTGCATCCAAATCCATCACATATTATAGCCTCTCATGTTAGCACAAACATCCTTTAGAATGAAACTTTCCTATTACCATTTCCATTACAGAATCATTTCATCTGTAATAATTTTCCATCAGAGGCTGGAGAGGAGTCTGCTGCAGCTTTACCTGCTGTTCATACCAAGCACGATTGAGAGATACCATTTTTCTTTGTGTTTGAAACCAACAGGAGGAGGAAAAGGGTCTATAAATACAGACGATCAAGAGTCTTTTACATCTAGTGGTACGCTGTGAAGCACACCTGTAACAAAATAGGAGAGCAGAAGGGGGTGGGGGGGGGGAGATTTAGGAAAAATCGGAGCAGAATTAATCCTTCAAGCTGAACCGCCTCTGCAGAGCACAGCTATAGAGTCCTGCTGACTCGAAGGGCCATTATTCAAGGGTTAAATGTCACTCAAATCAACCTCATTATGAACTGAAGGATGAGGAGGGGCTCGGGGGAGACACTGCTTTCTTATGCATTTACAATTGAGCCGCTCTGGCCTGAAGATGACCCGCCGCACAATTTTTAAATTATCTCTGCGCGCTCTGCTTGTTTTGGAAATGCTCTAAATAAAAATAATGGACTGTCTTTTAATAAGTCTCATTGTGAAGATTCCACATATCAAACAACACAGCGCAGCTTGGAGGCAAGCGACGGGCATGTGTGATCTAGCTGGAAGAGAGACAAATGGTGATGGGAGCAACTCCATCTAGGGACCGCTGACAAGAAAATGGCATTCGCAAACTGACACATCTGTCAGGGTGGAGAATATTGGCACCTGTCACGCAATTTCAGTCATGACTTTTAATAAAGCTGCTTTCCCTTAGGTAAAATTGGAACTTGACTGTAATATTAGCTGCAAGCACGTCTTGTTTTCCCCTTCAGAGCTCTTTTGTACGTGAGACGTTTCAAATGAATCTTAAAGCTGAAGTAATGATGTTTACTACTTCTTTCCTCCTCCCCCCTCCATTCCCTTTCCAAGTCTGGATTTGAAAGAGATGTTGTGCTGAGTTTTTTTCTTTGCAAAATGTCTCCCCTTCATCTACCAAAACGAGATTTTTTTTGTATGTGAGTGTGTGTGTGTGCATGCGCGTGTGTATAGCGCTTTTTCTGTATCACTCTTTTTTTTTTTTCCTTTCCTCCTCCTTTTCAGCTGGGCTGTTGTTTGAGTGAATTTAGCCTGGGGAGGCATGTATATCATAAAAACTGGGTTGGGATTTGTTGGCTGTCAGTCAATAAATCAGTCAGAGTTTAATTACCAGGCATGTGATGGGAAGCGGTGACAGGCACCAGGTCTGTTGGATAGCATTTCTTATGGGGCAGCAGCTACTAAAAACAAAAAGTTAGAGAGTATGTGTGTGTGAGTAGATGCCGGATGGGAAGGAGGGGGAGAGATTCGGGAGGAGGGAGAGGAGGAAAAGTGGAAAAGGAGGAAGGGGGAAAGGAAAAGTTGAGGAGTCCTGCAGCTGGAATCCACTATTACAAGAGAAGAAAAAAAAAAAAAAAAAAGTTTTGTGTTCTTAAAACAAAGAATATGAGTCTCCATTTCAAGACAAAAAAATAAGGTTTTTTAAGTGAATTTCCCATGTTTTGCTTGAAATATGTCAGCATGTTCTGAGTGTTACCTGATGCCTGCATTAACTTATGCTACACTAAAGTGCACCCCTTTGTTTAACACTTGCAAACATTTTATCAGAAATATTTTTTTAAAAGGAAAAAAAATAACTACAGTTGAGAGAACACATCAGGGAGATGGGGCTGGAAGGAGCTGGAGAACTATTGTATTACAGAATGACATAATGTGTTAAAGGACGTTTCACAAAGTGAGAGTAAAATTTTTTAATAAAATATGAAGGTTATATAACATTCCCAATGAGGAAATCAATAACATTTTTTTTCCTTTTTCTTTTTCCCCTCCTTCTTCCCCCTTTTTGGAAGTTTTCCAGGATGTCTGACCATGGAAATCATGTACAGTATTTTTTTCAAAGGCAATTCATACTTGACATGGTTTTTATTATTGACTAGTGATGAGAGATGTCATCTTCTTCCTGTCATATGCCATGAAGCATTATGTGGAGATACTGCAGGATGTTTTGACTGAAAAGATGCTCTATTTTCTTTTAACCATTCTCCTGTGGTGTGTCTCAGTGTGTGTTTCAGAAACCTTTTGTCCATTTTAATGCATTATGGGTAATGGACACAAAAGTCTCTGTCTTGAGGTAGTGTAGCTGCTCCTCTCCTGGCAAGGCATTTGTCCATGAACACGAGGGAGAACAAGAGATTTCTGAGAAGAGGAGGAAAATGTTCAGCAGAAGAACACGTTACAAGTGGACTTCAGCTGGTGAACATTTAGCTGGAAAAACTTGTTGGTTCAAATTTCATAGAAACTTCTGAACAAAAAAAAAAAGCCGTATTAAATATGGAAATTTTCTGCATTTAGATGTCTAGTTTAAATAGTTACTTTATTCAAGAATAAGAAAAAAGCCTTCTATGGTTTGCTCAGTTAGCTGGACTCCCATGCCAACAGTCTGTTTATCTCCTTGTCTGGTTGCTTTGCAGCTGCCTCTGTGACTTCACCTATGTGAGTCTGGATATCCAGCAAGACCTCCCAGAGATCACCTGCAGGACCTTGTCCCATCTATGCATTAAATTGCTCCTGTCAAGTACAGCCGACTGTATATAAACTTTCTATTTCTCCCCCTCTACCCTCTGTCAACTTTTGCCAGCACTCTTAGATGGCAAAATCCTTGGAGCAGAGAACTTTCTTCTTGATTGCCTCACCAGGGCCTAGCTTATAGTGTGTACTACTAAAAATGTGCAATAAGTCCAGAGCTTGCCCTATATGTGTACATATTCAAACCACATGTGGTGCAATATCCAGGGTGCAGAAACTGTCTCTCATTGTATTCACAGAGGATCAGAAGAAGGAGAGGCTGAAAAGGAAGGAAGAAAGTTCTAGGTAGGAAGGGATACAGACACACGAAGCCACACTTTCAATGGAAACTTTTGTGGATATTTAATGACCTTTCCTCCCCCATTCCTTCTCTTTCCTCTATCTGTGACCTGGAGATTTTGCAGCACAGCAGGCCTTACTCCCACACTCACAAGCCACCAGCAGCACTGGCTTAATCAGTCTCAAAAGGCCTCAGTCTTAAATGTCTTGTGGATCTAAAGGAAAAGAAATATTTTTATTTAAACCTTCTCTTTGGAGTTGCTTGCTCCATTCCCTAATTCCACACTGGCTAGATCCAGATTTCTCTCAGACTACTGGAAATTCCCCTGGCACCCTCCCAGAGTTAGTTCGTCCAACATCAGTAAAACTTGTGTAAGCTGAACAATGGTAAAACACTTTTTAAACATTCTGCCCAGCAGCAACAGCACCTTGTGGCTGGTAAGAATTCAGCCAGGTCCCACAGGACATCCCACCAGCTCCTGCCATCAGGGCCCTGGCTGCCTTGGACAGCACAAAGTTTCATTACATCAAGTTTGCCCTTCATGGGATGGCCACGCTAAATCTCAGTGCCCTGTCCAGAACTGAAAAAAAAAGTCCAGAAGGACTCCAATGCCTGATGTCACATAAAGCAGGCTGACCTCCATGCAAAATGCTCCCCAACAGCAATGCAGGGTGTCCGCTCATTGACAGTGGTGGCTGAGAAACAGAGAATCAGAGAGACAGTTTCATAACTGGTTTAATCTTCTACTACACACCAAGGCCACATGAAAACCCACTAAGGTTGAAGCTTTAAGACTCATCTTAACACAGAAACAATAATGGGACCATAGCAGATCGACTCTGAAGTTTTAAGTCAGAATCCACCTCCCAGATGAGTCACTCTGGCTATTAACGCATTACAGGAATGTCAAATTATTATAATCTTTGTCAGAGGTCAACCTGTATTAAAACAGCAGCTCAACAGACATAGGATAAAGATATCTTAATAATATAGGAAAACTGTTGGGGTTTTTTTCTGCCAATAATTAACTTTAGTCTCCAAACATTTGCCTCTGACCTGCTCTTCTCCTTGTGTGAGCATGAGCACCAGGCTCTCCAGTTCACCTTAATCACAGGTGAACTCCACACTGGACAGGAGTGTTCCTAAAAACAGAAAATATGCCAAAATTGGAAGTGAACAAGGCACAAACTTTAGAAGCAAGTAAACTTCCCCATTTGCCTGAAAGTGTTGCCCACTTTTCTTGATAGCCCGAGGAAAATGGGCCCAGTTTTTTTCACTTTCATTTGATACCCACTTGTTGTATTCAAAGGAAAAGTCTGATGCATTCTGTATATGGACCAAAGGCTTCCTTAAAACAGCTTCTCTCTTGAAGTATATTTTGCACAGATGTCTTAGCCAAAGGACCTGAACCCAGAACTGAAGTACTAGTGCCACAAGGCTAGATTAAGGGGCCCAGGAATTCCCCAAAAACAAATGCATTAATTGATATTTATTTAGGGAAGTGTGTGATGGCCTCTAGTGGTGCACATTGTCGACAAACGCCGAAACACCACAGCTTCTGTCCTCTGTTTTTTGAGTGGCACTGGGAGAAAAGTGTTGTGGATGTACTGACACCGGTGTATTGCTGCCACATGAGTAACAAGACAGCCCAGTGACAGACGAGCCTGTTTCATTTATAGCTCCCTCCTTTCCTTCTCCTCCGTGCGCTGAGGAGGTGGGTGCACAGCACACGCTGGGAGCAAGTGCACAAACTGATATTTAGCAGTGACACATTAAGTACTGCAGACTTCCTGTGAACACACCACCCTGTTCCTGTGTCCAGCATCAGGGAATAAAAACAGATTGACTTCATCACAGTTTTCTTTTCCTGCTCACCCACCCGGCTCACACCATGCTCAGAAACAAAAATTTTGATTTGGTTCTTTTTCTGCCGCAGTCTTCCCCCTTTTATCAAAATATATTGATGGCATCATCAGATCAAGACCATAACAGGAATGTCACGACTACAGGACATTTCCTCCCAGCCATCAGATGGACTGAACCTCAACAGCACAAACATGCCGAGGCTTCTTGCTGTGAGTGCAGCCTCTACCATTACTACAGTGAACGTGATAGCCATTAACTAATCGTCATCAGAAAAAAATATAGCACTCTCTCCCTCCTCCACTGCACACTGAGGCACATACCATATAAACATCATAAAGGACACAGTGAGAGAGAAAAAACACACTAGAGGCCATACTAAACCACATATAACCCTGATCTGAGAAGAGACTGTTATTCAAAGCAGTGAAAGCTTTCATATACTGTATGGCCATAGAGTCGGATGTTTTCTCAACAGTTTTCTAAGCAATAATACATAGATAAAGAGGCTGGAATCTGCCATCCCCTTTATAACATATGCACGTCTATTTATGAAGACACTTAAGCATGGATTTAGTAAGTCCGAGACAAAGCTCTAGAGGCGGCTGTCTCTTTAAATCCGTCTCCTACCAAGTGAAATTTGTGGCCCTGATGAATGGCAGAGCAGAGTCATCCATAAAAGGGCAGAGGCAAATCACACTCATTTGCATACAGTAATTATTCTCTGAATCGGGCCACCTTTATTGCTGCCAGAAAATCTACTGTCAGCATCGCTCTATAGATCATGTTGGAAAAGCCCGCAGCTGAGGAGCGGGGTGGTGGCTTCAGACCCACCGGCTGGCACCCCAGCCAGCCTCACCACTGGGACAGGTTGTGCTTTGCCTCACTCCCCACCCAGAGCACCCATAGGTCCATCTTCTTTTGGGTCCTGGATATTCTCAGCAGAGTAGCAGCATAGCATGTGGGTGAAAATTTGTCCCCAGATAATAGATGGTGGGAGCCATGCAGGGTGGCTGGGGAGGTTCCTAACTGCACCAAGAAAGACTGGATATTTTTCACCTTTTTTTTCCTTCTCACATGACATCTTTTTTACAGAAAAATAAAATAAAAGAGAAACACTGTATGCGCAGAGTTACATTGCATTGCCTTATGGCTGTGATAACTATGCTTATGCTCCTGTTTGGCTCTACCTCAGAGGGCACCAGCAGATTAAAAAAGGGAAAAAGCTGAATGAAGGCATTTCAGTCTGCTGGCAGGAGCAGTAAGAGGGGAAAGGGCACAGCCAAGGACTGCACAGGCAAAACCAAACAGAAACCCTGAAAAATGAGCAGAGATCTGTGGGGCCAGAATCTCATTGCAGCACAAACAAACCTGTCCCCTGTCAGAGTCTCAACACACAGCATGAAAACAGAGTTTATTCGGGTGCCCATGGTAGTTATAGAAGAGCACCTTCCCATCCATTTATGGCCATCGACTTGCAACACTACCAAAAAAACTGAAGTCTGATAGAAGCTCTGTGGCAAGTATGTCCTTGGCAGGAATCCAGTTGAGATCACACTTCCTGTGCAACCAAAACCTGACATGCAGAAAACGCTCACTCCCAGTAACGAATCGCAAAGACGAGAGCAGTTTGGAGCTGGAAGCGACAACAGCAGCTTTGGTGCCAGCAATGCAATTTGCCACACTGTGGAGCAGCTACCACCCAGCACAAGGGCCTTCCACCACTGCAGCAGCTGGGAATAGAACATTGGTGGCTCCCATTTTGCAGGCACTGCCCACCAGCTCAGGTGTGTTTGCACATCAGTTTTTGCATCGGTCCAAATTCACAATCAAATGCATATTTGAATTTCTTGTTCAGGGTGGCTGCAACAGACTTTAGGAAGTCTCTGTGGATATGGGCTCCCCATGAGGGTGGAGGCAAGGATTTCTTGGACAGTCATTATCCTACAGCACCATGGCACCCCATGGCATCATTGGTTAGTCAGTGCTTACTGCAATATTGAGTCTGTCCTTAAAAGGATCCAATTTTGTGACCCAAAAGGAAAGCAACAATATGAGACTGAAAAAGAATCTAGAAGTCCTGTATTCAGCCACGACAGTTTCCATCTTCTGTTCTGTCCTAGGATGTCTAGACCTAGAGGCAAAATGTTGGGAAAATAGTTGATTACTTCCCAAATACCATGTAGTATTGTTACAGTAGTAGTAGTAGTAGTAGTAGTAGTAGTGTTGCGTGCATGTCATGGATGTTATGTTGGTGAAAAGCTTCGTTATCAGTGGGTACTGGAAACACTTGGTATGAGAAAATGGAGTAAAAAGTACACTTGAAACTCCATGGGCGAGGAGTGTTTTAAAACATAACATGAACAAACATGATCCAAATTTTGCTATAGACAGAGAATTAGTTGATCAAAACTCTTCCTGAAAACACTGAAAATAAGTTTTGCTTGATTGACTGGAAGCATCCTGAAGTTGCAATTTTTCTCTACTCTCCCACCCCAATTTAGAGACCAACTTAGGACCTTTAATGTTCATTTAATTTGTGATCTAACCAAACACTTTGGGTTTCCAAACAGCCACAGACAAAAAGCTTTCTTAGAGCATTTTTATGACTAAGCCAAAATGAAAACTTCATGATAAAACACAATGGACTTTTCAATGTTTCCAGCAGGTACTTTCAACATTATCATACCATCCAGACAGGGAGTTACTGAGAGATTACTTAAATAAGAATGTTTTTTAATCCAGTTAGAAATGTTTGTTAGTGAACTGTTTTATGATTCATATCTATAACAAAGGTTTCAGTCAAAGCAGAATCTAGTCTTTTCCCCAATAAGTAAGAGGTGATGGAAAGTCATTTTGAATTGGACAGTATTTTTTGCACTCAAGTATATAAAGTTTATATATATAGAGAGAAAAAAAATACCTGCCACCTACCATAGCTTCGTGAATCCTCATTGGCTTATTTAAAACAGATTGTATTTCACAGTCCTGTTTCCAGAGCAGTCATCTGTCCACATCAACTCCACTAATTTTTACTGTTGTCCCTTCTCTGATTCCTCAGGAAGGGAGTGTAACAAGCCAAAGTGAGAGACCTTGTCTAAAGCAAATTTCTGCTGACCAAAACATGTCCTGCCATGTGTAAGAGAAAGGCTTTTTCCTTGATCAGGCTGGCAGTAGGATATTTTGCAAATATTAACTTAAATAAGATGCAGTAGAAACAGCAAGAGAAAGAAAAAAGAGAGAAGGGAAGTCAACATTGCTGAACAGTGATACTTCACCTTGCCTAAAGCTCTGTCAAAGTACCTGACCCCTGACAGATCTAAAGTAAAATCTTTTAAATGATGTAAGGGACATAAGTTTTAAAGCAAGCAACACAAGCTCATGGCTTTGCTGTTTATTAGGGGACGAATCTTCCAATATTGGCTTGCTGAGATGAACACTTATAAAACCACACCAATATATGTGTTTGCATTCCTCTTTGGGTAAAAATTTGTCAGAGAAGGAAGACATTAAACCTGTCACCTCAGATAAAGATCAGATGTTTGATTTCAAACAGAACAAAGCAAACACTTCACTGCAGGTTCCATTAACCCCTTGAGTACCCCATGGAAACTGCTCGATGGGACGAGTAGCAGGTGCTGTCTGGGTTGTGGACTTGCAGCTGCAGAGTTTTCTTGGGGAACATCAGTTACAGGCTGTTTCTTTCTGTCTGCTCTTCTTTCCAGCATTTGCAAAGCAGAGTGAGTCTGCTGCCTGCAGAAAGTGGTGTGATTCAAAACAGAAACTAGCTTAGATATTTGTACATAGTCCTAATACCACTTACTGGATCTGCTTTTTAAAAAAATATACTTTCAGGGCATCTGAAGTAGAAGCAGCACTCAGATCTTCTCTAGTAAAGGGAGAGAACTAGGCTAGTATGGAGATCTCTCTTTTATTTCTCTGGCAACAAAGGGCTGCAATTTTTGTACCCTTAGACACATATCCAGGTTACAGCTGTTCAAAATGTCTACTGGAGTGGCCTTACATTAGGAACTAAAACTCTCTGGCAAATCTATCTATGGTAATACCTGGAACTTTACTATGGCTAACTGGCATAAAATGAAGCGAATAAATTTTACTGCAGAAAAAAGAAGAGAAGAGAAAGCAGAAATCAACCTGTTTCTAGACACTTCATGCATAAAGTCGGGGGTTAAATCATACAAAAGAGAGGCGTAATAAGAACTGCTAATAAATATTTTCATATGGAAAATCTGATCCATGCAAGACTGGGAATGTAAGTATGAGGCAAACTTTTATGATCTCCAGTTTGCGGCAGATCATGTGGAACATTTGGAAGTATGTGAGATCATGCCACACAAGTGTTTGCTATATTAATCAAACAGCACAATAGTTGCCTGGATACCCACATCATTTCATCAGCTGTGGTGGCCTGTTACCAGTTTTCAGAAAATGAAATGTGACCCCTGAGGACTGTAATTGGGTGAGTATAGTAATTTAGGAACGTTCAGGGGATCTGGAAAATCTGTCCAGCCAATTCACTTACAGCCAGCCATGGCAGAAGGGTATTTCAGCACCAAAGAATCACGCATGTTGCCTTTTATCACTGCTGATACCCAGTTCTTTCCCTTTGCCTCTTTTCTGCTTGGTGCCAGTTACAATGAACTCCAGAGTCTTAATGAGACTAGAGATAATTTTGTTTAATGAAGGATTAAGGCAGTGTCTTAGAATACTTGAAAAAAAAGGGTGAAAAAAATACAAGCCAGTTCTGTGCTGGCAGAAACTGTGGTGCATTTGCAATATAAACTGCTGGATCCTCTTACACAGAATGTTTGTTGTGATACAATTTGAAACATAAAGGGCAGTGATCTCATATTTTAGTGCAGGAGGAAAAAGCCCTTCTGGATTCATCTAAGCTTGTGGCATTTAGTTTAACCCAGTGTAACCTGATGCAGTTTTGAGGCAGGTAAACTGTGTGTATGTTTTAATTACAGCTGGGATATGTAACCGGTCCAAAGTTCGGGTCAATAGAGTGATGAATTCTCTAGCCACACAATCTTTAATACTGGCTGGTCTGGTTATTAATTTTCTTTATTTGTACTGTTAAAGACCTATATAATTTGTAGCTTTGGTCATTTGTTTTTTAAAAGCTCAGAAATGCTCACCTACTTTAATCAATTCATTTTCGTGGGGTAATAAACTTATTTTGTGCTCTTTTCATAATTTATATAGGGTTCTATTATTTACATATCTCTTATTTATTCTATTTCTAGTAGGCTATAAGGCTTCCTATTTCTGTGGCAGCAGATTGCACTAGATGCATGATATAGGAATACTAAAGGGCAGAAGAAGACCATATGCTCCATCATAGGCTGCATTTTAATCCCTGAAATACCAAATCATCAGTCTAATCCTTCCAGTTGACTCAGGAGTGGTCTGTTATAACCCTGGAACTGGGATGGAAGACAAAAGAAGGCACAGAGCCAGAACTTCTGCTAATATAAATCAGTGTGCTTCCACTGACTTCAGCGGTAACATCTTTGACAGCAGCTGAGGTTTTACCCCAGATTGTTTCGCTCAGTGGTGTCAAAAGGAAAGGTGGGCTTCTCAGAGCCTGTTTTCCAGGTCAGACACTGGTAGCACATTATTCAGAGGTAAACCAAACTGTCTGAAGTGTTCTGAAAGCTGCTAGATGCAAATTGCTGTAACAGGTTTTAAAAATTTAATATTCTTTTCTTCAGAAAATTCCTCTATGGTCTTTTCTAAACTCATCCAAGCAGAATGCATCCTTCATATTGTATGAAGAGAGCAAAAGTGGCAATATTCCATGTTCTGATCAGTACCCATCTGAGAAGCTTGAATCATACATACATACATACATACATAAAAACGTCGAATGGTTTGGGTTTGAAGGAACTTTAAAAATCACCTCATTACAACCCTCTTACTGTGGGTGGGGACACCTTCCACTGAACCAGGTTGCTCAATTATTTACTATTTTTTTAGGGTCAATCATAAGCTTATGAGTAAAGAAAACTGGTTCTGCCAAAAAACTCGTGACAATAGATAGGCTTGCTTCAAGATGGCTTTGTTCTGCCACTGATCAGATTGTTGGGAGCCTCTTCAATTGTTTCATTGAATGCTGCCACTCAGCTAGAAAATGCTCTGGCAAGCATGGCTGTACATTTCAATTGTTCTGCCAGAAATTGCATCTTTCCATGATGATTCCAGCTGCAGTCGATACCCTATTGGCATTCCCTTGGCATGTTACCCTGGAAATTTGCAGTTGGTGATCTTAAGGTGAGCCACCTTCTCTAAAGCTTTCAAAGAGTACTGCGGCTGATCATTTGTGCATCTGCTATACCATTCCCAAGAAGCTATCCTAGCACACATGGCAGCATTCCGAACCGGCTTAGGCTGATTCAGTGGGGAGGCTGTCTCTAAGAATATTTCAAAAGAGTTAGTATCAGGCTGCAGAGACACCACAAGTGCAACTTTTCAAAGTGAAAAGTTGCTGCTTCTCCTTCAAGGCTCACCGATAGCGTCCGAGTGGGAATTAAGCAGTACACTGATACTGTACATGATTAGCAGCGTGGCTGTGGGATAAGAACAGTTATATCCTGGATAAATTTAAGATGACAAATTTGCATGTAAAACCAGAGACTCTTGTCAAAAGAAAGAAATCAATGAAGAACTGTCCATCTGATGACAGGTTGCATAGGCTATCCATGACAGCTAACACAACTTTAAATAGTCTGTCTCAATGTATTTGAAAATGTTTTGGAAATGTATTAATAAAAATTACTTAAGATTTTTTTGTATGAATCATCTTGATGGTGAGCCTTCTGAGAAACAGCTGGGGAACAGAAAACCTTTAATGGATTTTGTAAATATTCTCAGTTCTGAACTGTATATTATTTTATTGATACACCCTCACTCCAGAAGGCAGATTTCACTGCAACAAGAATTTTTTTACCCCTAAGAAAAAAAAGAAAAACCTGAAACCAGAAGATGGGTGCATAATACATGGCTCCTCTGAGGCAGACATTCCTACAGTTATTCAGAGTTTCTGCAAAACAGTATTTCGTATTCTCTGTACTGGAGAAGAAAAAAGACTAAATTTGAAACATCTCTCTG